AAAAAAAAAAAATTAGGATGATATATTAATGGAAAAGAAATCATACTCTGTAAAGTAAAGAGGTTAATTCTGAGCCAAATTTGAGAACTGTGACCCAGAGCCACACCCAAGAAGCCTTGAGCATGTGAACTTCTTGTGGTGGAGTGACAGTTTGGTTTTACACATTTCAGGGAGACAGGAATTGCAGCTAAAATCATAAGTCAGTCTGTGGAAGGCATACATTAGTTTGGCCCAAGAAGGTAAGACATCTCAAAGTGAGGGCTTACAGGATATATAGGTGGGTTTAAAGATTCTTTCACTGACAACTGGCTGAAATAGCTAGGCTTTGTCTAATAAACCAAGAGCTATCAAAAAGGAATGCTTAAGCTAAAATAGGGGTCTGGCCAGGTACAGTGGCTCACACCTGTAATCCTAGCACTCTGAGAGGAGAGGCAGGATGCTGGGGGGCCTAAAAGCAGCCACACACAAACCCTTTCCCTTCCCCCCCCCCCCGCCCTCTTACGACAAAGACACAAAGGATCTGGCTAGCCCACTCCCTGAGAAGTTCCTGCCAAAAGACCCTAACTTTCCAGGCAAGGTGTAGAATGTGCCCGTTCCATAGCCCCTCCTAAAAGTGGTCTCTAACTGCCCTGGGCACAGATAGCAGGTGTTGTGACAGGTACCAATATGCCACTACTTGGGAGAATGAGGCAAGAGAATCACTTAAGCCTGAGTTTGAGGTTGTTGTGAGCTATGACACCACAGCACTCTACCAAGGGTGACCTAGTGAGACTCTATCTCAAAAAAAAAAAAAAAAAAAACCTTGCACTTTTAAGTTCCATGCTACTGCCTCTTAAATTTTAGTAAGCCTTAAATAATATATATAGACACTATATTCGAGTACATAAATGTCTGTTGCTATTAAGATTCTAGTGCTCATATTTGTGCTTTTTTTTATGCTGTTTCCAGAGTTGAAATGCCATGCCTTATCATTCAGAAAACAGTACCAAGTCCCACCTCCTACATGAATCCTTTCTTAACTAGGTTGATCCTACCTCTCTAAAGATTCCTTTTTGTAGCAGCCTGTATAGGCTATGGCTAGGAGGAGTGAGAGTTGTAGGTAACACCTGTATAGCTCAATAATGGAACACCTTGGTAATAAGGGCATGGGGAGGGATTTGGCTCTCTTATCAACCATGAGAGCTCAAGAGACAGAGCATTAGTGAATTGGCAGTCTCTACACCTGTGGTGTTAAGCGTCACGAGATCAGCTCTATATTAGGCTGGAGGTGCATTCTATCACAGACGACTCTATATTAGGCTGGAGATCAGCTCTATATTAGGCTGGAGATCAGCTCTATATTAGGCTGGATGTGCATTCTATCACAGACGACTCACTCTGACTATCGCTTCTCTTGCCTGCAGCACCTCAGCACGGTGTCTCTCTGCTGAAACTTACTAAGCTCTGCTAAAGGCTGCTAAGATCTATCCTTCTAAAGACTACTTCTCCCTCAGAGACTATCTCTCTCTCTCTCCCTTCTGCTGAAGTAAATAGCCCTCAGGCACCTAAGAGCAATCGGTTGCTGAGTGGTCTGCCTCTGGAACATAGCTAGATAAGCAGGGGGCTGGAGACCTGGCCAGTCGCAGGCCATGATAAATAGTGACCAGGAAGGGACCCCAACACTTTTGATATCGAAAGGAGTTCAGAATTTGGTCCATGATTCTCTACTTTATCAATCATTATGCCATAGTACTTTATCAATAGTGGTATTCAAGGAAGAAGAAATCCCCTCTCACATGCCACCTCCACTCACAGGAAGTCATTCATTCATTCTTTCATTTACTCAGTAAGGATCTTTCTACCAGGCCCTGTGCTGGGTGCTAGACATACAGTGGTCAACCAAACCCATGGTTCTTGTCCTCGTGGAAATTTCACAATAGAATATGGCATTTAAAAAGTATGTAAATGTAAATTGTGATAAATGTTATGAAAAAAAGAACAAAGGGGTCCACCAGAGAGGAGATCAAAAGGGTACAACTTAGATTGGGGAAAGCAAGAGAAAGCCTTTCTGAGAAAGTAACATTTAGGCTGACACCCAAAAAATGAGTAGGAATTTGTTAAAGAAAGAGTGAATAAAAAAGCATTCTGAAGATCCTGAAGTCAAAAAAAATTGTCATCTTCAGAAACAAATGAAAACTAAGGTGCCTGGGAGTTAGTGAGCAGTAGGGGGAGTGCCAGAAAGTGAGGTCAAAGGCTCTGCAGGTCACGTCAACCTGAGGAGCAGGAATGTTGTGCAACTTGGGAAAGTTCCTACAGCACAAACTCTGGAAATTAGACCTTGCCTAAAACTTCTTGACTAAAGGCAGGGGATGGGAATATTTTATTTTATTTCATTTTTATTAAATCATAGCTGTGTACATTAATGCAATCGCGGGGTGATGAGCAAATTTTAAGTGATTAAGGAATACTCACCTCCTCTTTGTTTCAAGGGCATTCATATTGCTTCTGAAACAATGAATCTCTTAAACACCCATCTGATTGTTTTTCCTGGCATTTACTTAATAAATATCCACACTTTCTACCATAGTGTGCAAGACACCAAAAGGAGGTAAAGATGGTTAAACTACATTGTCTATGACCACAAAGAAACTCAATGGCTAAGGGTAGCAAGTAATATAAGGAAAAAAACATTTTTTTTGAGACAGTCTCAAGCTTGTCACACAGGGTAGAGGGCTCTGTGTCATAGCTCACAGCAACCTCCAACTCTTGGGCTCAAGTGATCCTCTTGCCTCAGTTTTTCTTTTTTCGTTTTTGAGAGTCTTACTATGTTGCCCTCAGTAAAGTGCTGTGGTGTCACAGCTCACAGCAACCTCAAACTCCTGGGCTTACGCGATTCTCTTGCCTCAGCCTCCCAAGTTGCTGGGACTACAAGTGCCCACCACAACACCTGACTTTTGTTGTTGTTGTTGTTTGTTTGTTTAGCAGGCTTGGGCTGGGTTTGGACCCACCAGCCCTGGTGCGTGTGGCCCACACCCTAACTGCCAAGCTGTAGGCACCATGTCTGTTTTTCTATTTTTGTTAGAGACAGGGTCTCATTTTTGCTCAGGCTGGTCTTGACCTCATGAGCTCAAGAGATCCACCTGCCTCAGCCTCCCAGAGTGCTAGGATTACAGGCGTGAGCCACGGCACCCAGTCTAATACAAGGAAATTAATAAAAAAGATGAATGGAAACTATAACGAGTATGGCCTGAGTATGAAGTTAAGCTTGCTGCAAAGCTTTTGTTCTCTTCTTCTCTTTTTTTGTTAAGTGTTCTTACCACTTGCTGCTGCTGAGTTCTGACTCCTGACACTGTGTATTGGGTGTTGGGGTCTAAATTACCCAACTGTAGTGACTGCAGCCAGGGTGGATGGGGTGGGCTGAAGCAAGCCAATGGATTAATGCATGTCCAGCACCTGAACACAGTGCCTGCCATACAGTCAGCTACCAATACTAACTGCTGTGATTTCTTTTTTCCAAAACAAAATTTCCATTTAACTAACACTTAGGAAAATAACACATTTGAATGAATAAGTTGGTTATGTTAGCTGTTTATTGCCAAAATGAGAAATGAGTAAGAGTTTTGCAGTGGGGATGACAAAGTAAATTCAAATATTAACTATAGCATGTGGCAAGAACCAGAAAAAACAGATGTTGCAGAAATGGTATCAACTCTCTTAACTATATGCCCTACAGCAGAGTTAGAAATCAGCCAAGCAATATGACAAGTAATTCAATGCCAGGAGGGTGCTAACTAGCATGTGGCAGGCCAGCCGAGCCTTTTAGCAGAGGCAAAAAAAATTACATCTCAAGGAAATAGTCTCCCAGCATCAGAATGAAGAGATAGATTCCCCTCCACCCCCACCCCCACTTGGTTCCTAATCTTTCTCTTTAGAACTCCAGCAGAATTTGGGGCTCAGAAAACCACACCCCAAGGTGGCTCCCACAGCTCACACACCAAGGCTGTTGAACTTGAACCTGGACTGGGCCAGTTAAAACAACAATAACTGCAACAAAGAAAACAGCCGGGCACTGTGGCGTGCACCTCTACTCGAGCTACTTGGGAGGCTGAGGCAAGAGAATCGTTTGGACCCAGGAGTTTGAGGTTGCTGTGAGCTGTGATGTCACAGCACTCTACTGAGGGCAACATAGTGAGATTGCCTCAAAAAAAAAATATATGAAAAAGAAAGAAAGAAAAGAAAACGAAAACCACCCCCCAAAAGGAATGCCTCAGAAGAAGCCTCAGTGACTAGGTTTCTCTCTGACTTCCCTGTCCTGCTATCTCTTGCCCCTCATTCATCCTTGAGGAAGTCACAGAAACTCCAAGGCAGGTCATGAAAACCAGAGCCACTTTCTCACATCAGCCATAAAATATAAAAATATTACTCTAACCTTCCCCTGCCCTTCTGTGTGAGAGTAGGCTGTAAAGAAATTCTCTGACCTTCCTTGTTTGGTATAGGTCATAAGCCCCGTTCCAGAAAGTGTGGCCCCACACCCAGGAGGGAGGCATGCTGTACAGAGAGGCCAGAAGAACCTGAGCAGACCCTCTGACTGTCCCCACCCACTCTACTCCCATTATGTCATACCCTTTTTGTCCAGTCACAGGGCTGTCCATTCTTCCTTGAACCCACACATAAAAATGGACAGTTTTCCCTGTATGCTTAGGTTTTCATTCTGAAGCTTCACATCTTGTGTAAAACTATATTAAATAAATTTGTTAGACTCTTCTCACTAACCTGCCTTTTGTCATAAGAGTGTCAGCTGTGACTGTTATGGAAGGAAAGAAAGGGATCAACACCTTTCCACCCCTACGCAGACACGTAGGACTTTTTTCAGATGATTAGACTTTGCCTACATTCCCCCAGAATACTCCCTAGTGTAGTCTTACTTCTGGCCCGACGGCCCTAATCCCTTTGTAGGATAGAGAATTATGAATTGCACATGTTGAGTGCCAAAAAAATCATGCAAAGGAGGAAATTCTGCTGCACTGACAATATAGAACAGATTTATTCAGCAGAAAAGCTGTTTGTCCCATGAGTTGCTGGCTGACATACTTTCTAGGTCCCAGAATTAATACCAAAGTGGTAAGAACAAATTTAAGGTCTCTCCCCATTGGGTAGGTGCAAGACTTCCTGAATAAATCAATAGGCAAGTGAATAAACAAAGTGACTGAGAGGATTGTTTGATTTTGTCTCAGGCGTCCCATAAAATCCTGCACATTCAAGACACGTGGTTGACCCCTGTCCTCTCCATGTTTAAATGAGGAAGCATCTTCTAGGAAGAACTATAAACAGTAGTTCAATATTCAGGAGGTCTTAAGGAAGTACAGGAGGAGCCTGGGAGTGACCAAACTATCCAATACTGTAGAAGTAAAGTAATGAAGAAATGAAGAAAAAAGTAATGTTTTGTTGCTTTATTAAATTATTCCTTACAGAATTCTTAACAAAAATACCATGTCCCTATAAAGTCACTCAACAATAAAGGACTGTCTATGTATAGGACACAGATCAAAAAAGGCAGAGAATTGTGTTTCTGGATCTTAATACAACTCCAAAATATTTAAAATTCTAAAAGATAAACTCAAGTATCTTAAATTTTACTCCACTTACACTTTCAATAATGCTGAAATTTTGATTGAGTATTGCATTTGTGGTGCTAGCTCTATTTTTTGTCCACAGGAACAAAGCCTATCATTCCCTTGGTATCTAAAATATGTATGTCCATAAGTTTTAGATACATAATGTATTCATATATTTATATAAAAGAAATTTTTTCTGAGTTTTAAATAAAATACTTAAGGAAATCAAATAAGTATAAAAATTAAAGTATGTTAAATTATAAAGTAGAGACAAAGTTTTGGGTCTTCTTCATGAAAGAAATGTGCGAACTGTCCCCTTGATTGTACCCCTACAGATAGGACATTTTCTTAGAGAAGGGGCACACTCTGTGCACACGACGAGATGACCACAAGGAATGAACACTACGGACACTTGTTTGTCCATGCACACTTTACACGTCCTTTCTTCCTGTAGTCTCCGCAATTGTTCTTCCATTGGTAGATCTAAGAAAAGAAAAGAATTTTTAAGAAAGGCAATTTGCTTCTCCACCAATGACAAATCAAGAAAATAAAAACAATGTTTTCTAGCAGTTTAAAGTGTTATTATTATTACCTGAAACATCTTCCATGGGAACATACTTTATGTTCTGTTGTACTAAAAGAGAAAAAGAAAAAGCATTACTACAACCAAAAAAAAAAAAAAGCCAATACTTAGCCACAGAATATATTTTGTAACAAATAGTTTAGACTTCGGCCTAAGTACTCATGTCAAGGCAACAACAGTCTTTAATCTTTTAGTGCAATTAATATTTATAAATTAGTTTGGATTATTTTCAATAATCACATATTAATATGAGCATATTTCCAACCAACCTAGAAAGTTCAAAAAAATAATTTTCTAGTACTTACCATATAAATGCTGGTATAATGTGGGGTCAACTTTATATAAAGAGTTTCTGAATATGGTGGCTGCACTATTTCCTTTTACTAAAATAGTATCAATCAGTTCTCTTGCTTGTACAGATGTCTGTGTTTTCTGTTTAATACCATCATGCTCCTGCTCATTAATGACTCTGGCAGTTAGGAGACTATCCAGGATTGGAATCACACAAGTCAAATGCTGAAAAAGTGCCATTCTGTTCTTCCGGATTAATGACAGATCATCTTTATAAAAAAGAACACAAAAACAAACATGCTCAAACTCTGCTTACAAACCTCCTTCATATAAGACAGAATAGAAACAATCTTTAATCAGTAAGGCCCTGATGTTGATTGCCAGGTTTGGAGGCCCCTCATCCCCTGTGCCTGATAACAAAGGGGACTGATACTGTATTAACTCACTTCATCTTTACAACAGCCCTTGGAAACAGGCGCAAATGCTTTCACTTCACAGATAAGCAAACAGAGCCACAGAAAGGCAAGAAACCTGCCCAGGGGCACAGAGTTTGTAAAAGTCAATCTGGTGATGGGATTTGGGCTTTCGAGCACATATAACCTAGAACCCAATAAAATTGAAATTTCTTTTCCTTTTCTTTCTTTTTTTTTTTTTTTTGAGACAGAGCCTTAAGCTGTCCCCCTGGGTAGAGTGCTATGGCATCACAGCTCACAGCAACCTCCAACTCCTAGGCTCAAGCGAGTCTCCTGCGTCAGCCTCCCAAGTAGCTGGGACCACAGGCTTCCACCACAACGCCCGGCTATTTTTTGGTTGCAGTCGTCATTGTTGTTTGGTGGGCCCAGGCTGGATTCGAACCCGCCACCTTAGGTGTATGTGGCTGGCGCCTTAGCCACTTGAGCCACAGGCGCTGAGCCTAAAATTGAAATTTCAATTCAATCTGGTCAAACTGAAGAAAGGTAAAATCAGAGAATTTAAATATTTTTCCTTAAATTATCATTCTTCCATAAAATTCCATTTTAAGTTAAAAATTTAATTATTTTCCAAAATTAAACAGATTGCCATTACCTAAATATTTTATAGTAATGGGGGGGCCTACTAACAGCATTTTGAAAATAAACCCTATTTGTCAATAACCACCCTTTTGTCCTACACAGAGATAAACGAGAAACTAGGTAGAGAGATTTATGAGGGCAGGCTGTGATATAATTCCCTTCTGCTATCCTGAAATCTCCAGTAAGAGCTTGTTAAAAGTTGGTGGTGAGGGGGTGATGCCTGCGACTCACAGGAGTAGGGTGCCAGCCCCATATGCCGAAGGTGGCGGGTTCAAACCCAGCCCCGGCCAAAAACAGAAGGAAAAAAAATTTGGTAGGGGCACCAGGAGAGGCCACAGGATCCTGTTATTCTCCTTCCAGATCTAGATTTCTCGTATCTATTGGTAACATGCTTATATTCTGAAACTGCAATTTTATTATCTCTTTGAAATATGACTTATGAATATAAGTTTACTGGGTTAACTATAGTTCACCATGATCCATCTTGCTATTTCTATAAAATAACTATTGACAGAAGTTAGGCTAGTGAAGAAAAACTGTTTTGAGAGAGATGATTGTTAGTGAGATGCTTGACACATTTCATTAAGTAATAAGACACATGAACAGAACCATCTGAAAAAGAATAAAAAATGTTCTTAGAAAGTCAAGGATAAAAACAAGAAAGGCAAATATAGAGACCTACTTTTTGTTTGTTTGTTTGTTTTTTTGAGACAGAGTCTCACTCTGTTGCACTAGGTAAAGTGCTGTGGCGTCACAGCTCATGGTAACCTTAAACTCTTAGACTCAAGTGATTATCTTGCCTCAGCTTCACATGTAGCTGGGACTACAGGCACTGCCACAGTGCCTGACTGTTTTTTCTATTTTTAGTAGACATGTGGTCTCCTGGTCTCTCTTTTGTTCAGGCTGATCTTGAACTCCGGAGCTCAGGTGATCTACCCACCTTTGCCTCCCAGAGTGCTGGGATTACAGGCGAGAGTTACTCACCTGGCCAAGACATACATTTTGAAGATAACTGAAGCTCTGAGAATAAATGGGAAGAGGATCAAGATCTAGAATAGGGCTGGCACAAGCGAATGCCCCATAAATATCTGTTGAACACATGAACAACCAAGCCTTACTACTCTAACTTGAAGAATAGACATTTAAAACTAATAGTGAGAGGGACAGAGAATTAGAACTTAATATATGTGCTAAATTATCTATATTAGAGCAGCAGTAATATATTAGGAAATAAAAATATAATTTATACTTAGTGTTGAAGTGTATTAGTTTTTTTGTTTGTTTGTTTTGGGTTTTTTTTGAGACAGAGTTTCACTATGTCGCCCTGGGTAGAGTGCTGTGGCAGCGTCACAGCTCACAGGAACCTTCAATTCTTGGGCTTTAGGGATTCTTTTGCCTCAGCCTATTGAATAGCTGGGACTACAGGTGCCCACCACAACGCCCGGCTATTTTTTGGTTGTAGTTGTCATTGTTGTTTGGTGGGCCCTTTAGCTCCCACGTATGTGGCTGGTGCCCTAGCTGCTGAGCTACAGGTGCCGAGCCTGCAGTATATTAGTTTTTAATCTAAGATTTCAGTCTAATTATATTTAACTTAACTTATTTGAAATGCTTAAGATTTCTAAAATTTGATTGCTAGTAACTGGAAAACATCCCATTTCAAAGTCATAAACTGTATTCTGCCTTATAAGTTGTAAAGATTTGAATATACTTTTAAAGCATATTATTATTTTATCATGGAAAAATTATCCTAAATTGCCTCTTTATTTACATATCACTATTCTTGGGAAACTATAAATTAACCTAAAGGCAAGTATTTTTATTCACTTGAACACAGATGACGTATGGTACCATGCTAGGTAATAGAGAGAATTGTAAGGCAGACATACTATGGGCTCTTTTCTATATGGTAAATTATTATACAGATAGTGCAAAAAAAAGTACACACATTTTAAGAAAGGAAAAAAGCTGTATTAAATTTATAATACTCAAGTCACGTTTGACTTTTGAAATTACAAGAAAGATTCAACATGACTTTTGTTATCAGTATACATTGAATATTATAAGAATATTCAATAAATCAGAAGCTAGGTGGAGAGATTAGCGGGTGGGCCTAGGGTAAGGTGACCAGACCAGACGTACCACTTTTGGCGTGACAGTCCCGATTTTTAACAATTTGTCCCACATCCTGCAGTGTTGTTAAAAAGTCCCAATTTTTGGAAAGAATGCACAACAAGCTAGGGAACGCAGGAGAACAGGAAGGGAATATACGGTTTACAGCTGCCATGTGGCTATTTCACCAGAATATGAGTTTTATATTATTTTTGTTAATTTTATAATGTTAGACTGTAATAATAACAAATAATTGTTGAGAACTGATTATTGAGAACTGCTTATCAAAGTTTGCATTGTTGTCAGGCCTCACCACTCCCAGGCCCTGCCCCCCCCCCCCACAATGGTGTCCCGCTTTACCAATGTTAAAATCTGGTCACCTTAGCCTAGGGGCACCACATACAGTTCCAGATGTAAATTGCCATCTGTGATATAATTCCCTTCTGCTATCCCTCAATCTCCAGTAAGAGCTTGTGAGAAGTTGCAGTCTGTTTTCAGCTATGGTGAAGGGATTTCTAGCCCGTGCCTGGCAAAAAAAAAGAGATCAGCATTTCTCTCTGTCTAGGCTAGAGTAATTATAGCCGTCAGAGCAGCAAGATGACAATGGACAGGCCCAGGGGAACAGTTTTTGTGAAGACAAGTAGGGCAAGAACAGAGCTGCAGACAAGACCAGGATGGACAAACATGGGTAACTTTCCTAAGAGAACGTAAGACAATATCCTATGACTTGCCTAATTAGATGCAGTGGAGAGGACTCACCTCTTGTGTGGTCCGGTAGGGGGCTTAATCCTAACTTGTACATCAATTTATAGTCATAGGCTAAAACATACTGTTATGCTAGTATGAAAATTAATAACTGTCCCTGATCCCACCCCAATTTACAGCAAAGAGTAGTGAGCAACTAGCCTGGGATCAAAAATGTGCCAGGAAGAATTGCGTACAAAGTCAACTACCCAGAGAAAATATATAAACTAAGGGAACACAAGAAATAATACTTTCTCTCAACATATATATTTTAAGTTTATATGAGCAACTCAAATGTATTTTATTATGAACAAAATTTTTTAGAATTTGAATTCAGAATACTAAATATAAGCAATCTGACTGGACTGACTGGCTTGATGAGTACATTTTCATCCTGTACTCATTGACAGAGTGCTACCAAATCCTTCTAGAAATAGAGACTGCGTTAACAGATCGGCATACCTGATTCCTTTTCCTCAGTTGCTCTTTCTTTCTCCTCTTCTCTTATTTCATCTTCTGCATTAAGTAAATCTAATACAAGATCATTGATGGTTTCATAGTTCTCTCCAGTTGTTAGGATTTTGCTCTGAACTGTCTGTCTTACCAGTCTTCTGCTAAAGCCCATTTCCAACGTGGCTTTCACCACAGGTGTATTCATCATGACTGCATCTTCTGAATGGTCTTCTCCGGGTTCAAAATGAGCAACTATGTGGAACATAGAATGTAATACATGTTAGGATAGTCTGTATGTTTTTTACATTGAAAGTTATTACACTATTGAAAACATAAGATCCCCAACATGTATAGGTAATATTTTCTATGAACTTTGTTAAATTGAAAACGATATCCATGTCCAGTCACCAAAATAAGAAAATGGTATATTGTGTTTAGACAGACAAAATATGCGTGTCTGTCCTAAGGATGTATATATGTGAACAGAAAGAAGCAGAATGTTTGCAATCACCCCCCCACACACACACACACTGGAATTCAGACTCCTTTCTGTCTATGTTGAATGAACACATGGGTTTTCTAGATCAAATATGTTTCAGGTATTCTGACAGAAGCTAGTGTCATCACTCACTTCTGTCTCTACAACGGCCTCCTGCAGTATTGCTCCCGGGCAGTGCACTGTCAACATTGCTACCATGGTGTCTCTTTCTTTTTGAGACAGTCTCACTTTGTCACCCTTGGTAGAGTGCTATGGTGTCATAGCACACAGCAACCTCAAATTCTTGAGCTCAAGTGATCCTCTTGCCTCAGCCTCACTGGGACTGTAGGTGCCTGCCACAACCCCCCGGTTATTTTTAGAGACAGGGTCTCACTCTTGCTCAGGCTGATTTCAAACTCCTGAACTCAGGGAATTCACCTGCCTAGGCCACCCAGAGTGTTAGGATTACAGTGTGAGCCACCACACCGGGCCCCAGGTTGTCTTTTAAAAAACACAAATGGGATTGCATTGTACTCCTTAAATTCCATCAACAGTTCCACTGCTCTGAGGAGACAATCTAAAATTTAACTCACAGGTTCTTGCACAATCTGGAGCCTCATCCCACTTACTCATTCGCCTTCTGCACCGTAGCCTGCAAGTCACAAACTGATGCTCTTGTTTCAAGTTCTGCCTGCAGCAACGACCATTTCTGGAGCTGGCCTGCTTCACTTATTATCTGTTTGCAACTCCGACTGCTGGCGGAATTTTGTTCAGTTCTTCAAAGGTGCCTGTTCCTTCTATGCTGTTCCTTCTGCCTAGAATCTTCTTCGCCTTCCCTTGTCACTTGGTGTCCTTGTCACCTCTTACTCTCCTCTTGGGCTCTCTGCTAACACAAACGCTTCCTCCGGAAAGCCTTTTCTGACCCTCAAGTCTGAGTTCATCGTTCTGCATGCACTCTCTCATCACACCGCACCTTCCTGCCGTCTCCCTTTCTCCAGTTGGTGTATTTGTAGTCCTTAGATTATTAGCTCAGGAGGCCAGGAGTTATGGTTATCTTGTTTTCTATTCTTTCCTCTGAATACTGGATATACAATTAATACTTACTGAATTGAATTTTGTAATTCATGCTTATTGAATTGAATATGAGAAGATGGAGCAGAAGAGATGGTTCAAACATTGGCTCTATTGCCTTTTAGGTTAAAGCTGGTGGAAAAGTTACTTAGCCTCTCTGAGCCTTGGGGTCAGTATTAAAGAATAGGAATGATATTTTCTACCCTCTCTATTTCACAGAAAGAATATGTGAGCAATCTGATCTATGGTAGATCTGTTCCCACACTGGCCTGAGAACAAGGTTAGGCCAGATGTACTTAGTTTGTTAAAACTATAGATGCCAAGGGCGGGCGTGATGGCTGACACCTATAATCCTAGCACTCTGGGAGGCCCAGGCGGGTGGATTGCCTGAGCTCACAGGATCGACACCAGCCTAAGCCAGAGCAAGACCTCATCTTTAAAAATAGCCACGTGTTGTGGCAGGTGCCCGTAATCCCAGCTATTTGGGAGGCTGAGGAAAGAGAATCACTTGAGCCCAAGAGTTTGAGGCTGTGAGCTATGACGCCAAGGCACTCTACCAAGGGTGACAAAGTGAGACTCTGTCTCCCATCCCCCCCCAAATTACAGATGTACAAGCCCCACTCTTAGGTACTCTGATTCAATTTATAGGTCTGAAGCAGAAACTAGAAATCTGTAATATTTTTTGAATTTCTCCAGGCAATTCTGATATGCATTGAAGTTTGAGAAATACCTGCACGGTATATTTGAAAATGCATTATAAATCAATAAAAATGTATATTGTTATCAACTTTCAGTATTAATAGTGCCAAATTTAAATGTAGTAATTATTATCATTGTACGTACTGGTTGACTCTGCATTTTCACCTTCAGGAGGGTCTGATGTGGATAACAGCTGCAGAAAAAAGGTATATAAGTTAGAATGTAAATTCTTATCTTGCCCATTGCAATAAAAATGAGTCAATAGACTTATTTATTCAATGTATTGCAAAATGACTTGTTTACTGGCAAAATAACTTTTTTAAGCTGAAGGCAATATTTCATTTCATTTGACAGTTATTCCCAATACCATAAACTAATAGAGTTTGTGTGTATGTCTGTGTATTAACAAATAAAATCCATTTTCATTAGGGCAGGAAAAGGACTACACCTCTTCAGTGATCTGAGAGACAGTCATTTTTCCTTTTATCCACAGATCTTACCCTCCCTGGGTCATCTTTAGAGATAAGTTGGACCACAAGTCAGTTCCACTGACCATGGCTGGGAAGTATTTGACCATCAAACTACTATACATGTAAGTTCTTATTTGCTTGTCCAAGAAAATTA